TCGCAGAGAATTGATACCTATGGAATTTGAATGCCTTCCCCAAGGTAACATAGGGTATAGAGTAGTAGGATCAGGATTCAGACAAAGGTACTCTGCATCCAAATAGAAAAGCAGACTATGCTTGTTCTAAATTGTTATGTGTTAACTTTGGTCAATTTTTTAGTATAAAATTTCAACATAACATTGCCTAATGTGTGCACTATACTCAGCCAAACCATGGAGGGATAAAAAAAGAAGGTGAAGGTACCCCCTGACCTTGAAGAGTTTATAATGCAGGTGGTCAGAACTGACACACCACAAACAGAATGGTAAGTGTTTAATAACATGTGCATGAAATATAAGCCTGTTTTAGCAACACTATAGGAGGTAGTGAAAAACTAAAATAGAAAAATATCAAAAAAAAAAACAAACAAAAAACACCCAAATAGTGGAACAGCATCCCGAAGGAGTGACTGAATTTAGGAAAGTCCCAAGAAAGAATGAGTACTGGGACTCAGTCCCAGGTCCTGAGGTTTAAATGATCCTATCATTTGGTGGTGCCAAATCGTTGTGGTTCGCCATGGATCTCTTCTTGTAAAAAGATGGCCATAAGCAGAAGCAACACCAAGAAGAGCCGGGCTGCAACAAAGATGGCGGCATTTCCTTTACAGTCCCTGATCCTCATCACAATTCAGGGAGAATTGCCCTATATCACTACCTCACTCAATGTTCCCTGGCCCACAAGTTCTTCTCCTTTGGGAGCCCCATGGTGTTAGGAAGGATTACAAAATCCTTGGTCCTGAGAGGCTGTCTCCTTCTTATATAAGTCTAATTAGCCACTTTCAACTCTTTTTTGCTGCCAGAAATCAAATCTCCTCCTAACAATATCACCTCTTAAACCTCCGGGTTCTCCCCCAGGAGAAGTGATCGAAAGATCTCTGGGTATTACATTGCAGCAATGTGAAGGGGCCAATCAGTTTTACTTTATGGTAAGCAGAGGGTTATGGTGGGTCTGCCCATGACTGCATATACCAGTGCCCCCTTTTTTGTCACTGGGCCATCCATTATTGTCTTTGGCCATTGGGGCCTGCATCTCTGCCTGCTGCCACCTCTGCCAGGCTCAGCTGCTGTCCCCTGTTCTGGGCAGGACAATGGCCACTGCTAGGGCCTGAACTCTTCTGCCCTGTGAGAGGACAGAGTGTTGTTTAGGCCTAGGCATGACTGCATTGCTACTGCAGAGGCTGGCCTCTGCCCCTACAATGGCAGATCCATGTAGGAGGTTGCTGGGGGGCTAGGTGGCCACTGGCCTTCTGTGCATGGCAGGAGTGCTATGGGTGCTACTACTGTTAGGGCCCGACTATGCTGATATCTCTAAGTCAGTACCTGTGCTCCATCTGTCATGTGCTCAGTACTCTGCAGGTACTACTTACTAAAAGTTCCAGAAACATAGAGACAGATAGGTAGAGAGATAGATAGGGAAAGAGAGAGACATAGACAGAGACAAAAAGACAGAGATAGATAGGGAGAGACAGACAGAGAGATAGAGATGCAGAGAGACAGAGAAACAGAGAGACAGAAAGTTATAGTTTATAGTTTGGGAACAAGAATAGAAACTTTTCACACAGATACAGCACCTCTGCTTGTCCTCAGCTAATTAAATGAGGTACAGTTGGCACAACTGCCCATATCCCCAATTCTAGAAATGTCTCTGGGGTCCTGAGGAAAATTTAGCCTTGTCCGTTCAAGTGCCTTCCCCATTGGCATTCAAAGCGCTTTATAACCTAGCTCTCTCCTACCTTTCCAGGCTTCTTACACCTTACTCTCCAACATGTACTCTTAGATTCAGTGACGTTGACCTCCTGGTTGTTCCATGAATAAGACACTCCATCTCTCAGCTCTAGGCATTTTCTCTGGCTGCCCTCCATACAGGAATGCTCTTCCTCTGGCACTTGCACCACTAACCTCCCTGGTTTCAAGTCCCAACTAAAATCTGACCTTCTACAGAAAGCCTATCCCATCCCCTCTTAATTCCAGTAGTTTTCCCATTTTATTTCCTATTTATCCTGTGTATAGCTTGCTTTGCATATATTTGTTTGCATGTTGTTTCATTCATTAGATTGTAAGCTCCTTGAAGGCAGAGACTATCTTTTGCCTCTTTTTGTATCCCCAGCACTTAGCACAGTGCCTGGCACACAGGAGGCAATTCACCCAAAGATAAAAAGTTGAAAGATATGAACAGGTAGTTTTCAAAAAAAGAAAGGTAAGCCAATCCAAATCACTAATAATAAGGAATATATAAGTTAAAATAACTCTGAGGTTCTACTCACACTCATCAGATTGAGAAAGATGACCAAAAAATACAATCAGGATTCTGAACAGTTTGTATCTGCAGAATCAAAGAGTAATTAATTGTTAATGCTTCAATATCAGTGTGGCTGGGAGATCTCCTGGGGAGCACTGCAGGGATCTATGCTTTCCTCAGAGCTATTTAACATTTTTATCAGTGACTTAGATAAAGGTATAGGTGGCATGCTCATTAAATTTGCAGATAACAATAAGCTGGTAACAATACCTAAGACACTTGATTGACAAAGTCAGGATCCAAAAGGGTCTTGAGAGCATTGAACTGAATCTAATAAGTTGAAATTCAATAAGGATAAATGTAAAGGTTGGGTACAAAAAAATCAGTGTTGCAAGTATAAGAGGAAAGAGGCATGGTTAGTTAGAGAGCAGTTGTTCTGAAAGGGATCTGGTGTTTTCAGTGACCTGCAAGGTCAATATAAGTCATGAATATGATTTGGCAGTCAAAAAAACTAATGAGATCTTAGGTTGCCTCAAAAGGAGCCTAGCTTCTAGGAAAAAGAAGGTTGGCCCCACTGTACTCTGCCTTTGACAGACCTCATCAGAAGCATTGCGTTCCATTCTGGTGTCATGGTTTAAGAAGAACACCGATTATTTAGAGAGTGTGCAGAGAAGGGCAACCAGATTGTCAAGGACTTTCAATACATAATATATAAGGATCTGATGAAGGAAATAGATAGCGAGGTATCTCAGTGGATAGAGCACTGGGCCTGGAGTCAGGAAGACATGAGTTCTATTCTGGCTTCAGACACCTAAGATCAGGAAAAATAAATCCAACAAAGACTGAAGAAAAAGAGGCAGACATGAGTTCATATCCACATGGTAGTCAGGGGTTGGAGCATAAGGCAGTCATTACCTCTTTCCCTCCCCACCCAGAAGCTTACAACAATTCTTCCTCCTCACTCAGGAGCTACTAGGGAAGAGAGAGTTTCTCTGTATGCCACTCACTCACCCGCTCAGCAGCCAATTAAAAGGTTTTTCATCCAGTAGCAGTAAGGCAATAGGGAAGAATCGCAGAAAACCTGTCCATGCTCCAAATTGGGGAAGACCCCTGGATCACATCATGTATTTCTAGAAGCAGTTCACTAAGTCTCTATGTGGGTTCACACTAGACAGAACATATTGTGCATGATCTAAGGTTTGGCCCTTATTGGCCAGTCTTAGCCAGTTCCCCACATGATGGTGAAATGTCATAGTAAAGAAAGTTGCAACAGACCATTTTGTATCCAAACACCGGGAGTACACATGCTCACATATGTACACAACAGTGGGAAAAGTGGACATACGTAGAGTGGGTACTTGAAACAGGAGCACACACACGAGGCATGTGGAACCAGGGCTGGTTGTAAAACCATGTGGGAGCAACTGATGTCTCCAGTGCTTCAGAATCACTGATGGCTTCTGGTGATGTCATGATGCTGCTCCCACCAGGCCTGCCTGACCGTGTTTGTCACCTCTGCTGTCCTTCCGACAGATGATGCTGGGATGGTGCTCGACCAAAGTTAGAGTCATCATGGTATGACATTCTGCCCACCACCTCCAGTATGACTATCTCGTACCAGTTTACCTTTTCCTCTTTTAGTTAAAAACCCATAGGTCTTTTCTCACTAGAACATTTTTTGGAAAGGCAAAAACCCTCATCTGAGACCAGCAGAGAACCTTTATTTGGGTTTTACTCTCTTGTTTCCTTTATATTCTTGAAACCAGAGAAAAGCATCTCAGTTTCAGACACCAACATATTGCAGGGTCCTCCAAGCTAGCCAAGGCCCCCAGGTGTAATATTTTCTATGAATTCTTCCTGGTCCAGGAGGTTGGCCCTTTGTCAGAGATCTCTCCCCCTAGACTTCCCAGTTTTACTCTCTGAAGGCTAGATCAGGGATTGTTGAACTATGTTCCAACCCATTCCCCCCCCCCTTTTTTAACAGCCCTATGAGCTAAGAATGTTTTTTAAAATATTAAATACATTTTTTACTTGTAAAAAATGTAAAAACCCTTCTTAGCTTACAGACTTGGCTCTACAAAAGCAAACAGGAGGCCAAGTTTGGTCCCTTTGTTTATAATTTGCCTACTCCTGGGCTAGACTATAAGCTAGTTAGGGGTTATTTGCCTAATAATTACTTAATAGCTCTGGGGGTTTAGAGTTCCCAGTTTCCCAAATCGAAAACCCTTCCTTTCACCAAAATAGATGACTAGGAAGGAAAAGGGACAGATACAAGTAAATCCAGGGGAAAAGGTCATTGTCTTGCTCAACTTTACCTATTCTTAGCCCTTTCATAGGCAAATACAGCCATTCGAAACCCTCACAGAAGCTTTGAGGTATTCCCTTACCTCAAATAGTTTTTATAATTCATATTTAAAATATAAATCAATAATATTTATACTATTATAAATATTAAAATATTATACAGTTATATTTCTACTATTTACTTCCCAAACAGTGTAAATAGATGTGTTGAAGTCCTAAAGAATGAAAGAAAGCATTTACTGGAAATGAGTTAATATTAAACTTTAGAGTATCAGGCAAAGAGAAATCTTCACCTGGTCTGTTGCAACTTTCTTCACTATGACATTTCACCATCATGTGGGGAACTTGCTAAGACTGGCCAATAAGAAAGGACACTTTCTATAGTACTTCTTGCTCTCCAAACTCATATTCTGAATTAAAATAAAATTTTCAGATGTGGAAATGATATCCTCTCTGATATAATCAAAATCCTGAAGAAAGGTCTCATCCTTTACCTTCTTCAGTCCCGACCAAGGTAAGTTTTATGCTTGCCCTCTATAGAAATATCAGAGAACGTCACACTTAAAAACAGACAGTAACTAGCTGTGTAAATATAGGGAAGTTATTTCAGCACTATGGGCCTTATTTCCCTTATCTTTAATTTATCTTTAAATTATTTCAGAGGGACATTCCAACTTTAAGACTCTCTGCAAGTGTTGATTTTTGCTTTACCTGTTGTACCTTTGCTATAGATAATACAATCTAGAAAACTTCTTAGTTATCAAGACTCTGCTTCTTGTTGCTAAACTTTCCTTTATCTTGTGCAGAATGTAACTGAGGTTTCCAAATAAACATGCTGTTTATGTGAGCCCAGATTGGTAAAGATGGGACATTGTGTGCCTGAATTGAGGTGAGAGATTCATTCTTTGAGAAAGTCATATATGGGGCCATATGCTCTTTGGAACTAAACTCCAGACAAATGGAGAGAGAAAAAAAAGACTTTAAACATGTAAGAAAAGCTATTTCCTCAACATGCCCCTGATTTCAAGCTTCTGGCCACAGAAACTTTGGGAATTTCCCCTTAGATGAGATCTTGGACTCTCTTTTGGTTGAGCTTTAAGCTCTCAATTTGCTCATTTAGAGAATTTATTCACCCTTGAGTATTTTCTGTTATACTCTAATCCATAGAACTATAATTTCTGTTTCTGTTTTGCTGGGAGAAATGGGTTCACTCACTATTCACTATTTGTGATGGTCTTGTGTAACTAGCATTTGATGGGAAGGAGTCAAGCCAGATGGTGGAAGCTAAGGGCTAGTGACCAGGGAAACTGGCTTTTTACTTGAATTTTTAAAATGTGCCCCTAGACCAAAAATATTTAAGGAAACAGATAGATATAATTCTTGTCCAGTACCCTTCTCAGATACTGAAGGAAAGGATAAGGGCCAGCCTCATGGCTCTTCTCTTGTTCCCTTTAAGGTAAGAATCTCTGTCTCCCATGGAGGGAAGTGGGCAAGATTCCAGAGATATCCATCAATGCCTCTCATGAGTCATATTTAAATTACTTATGTGGACACACACATCTTACATTGACACATCTGTACTTTACAAATTAGATCAAAGGTTTTTAGAACTGGCAGAAGGAGGTATGTCCTTGGAGATCATTTAGTCTAATTCCCTCCCCAGATATGGAAATTAAGGCTTGGGAATTTGGAATGACTTTCAAGGAGTTGCACAGTGATGAGATGGGAATACCTGGATTCAAAACCTTGCCTTCTGACTCATAAACCACGTCTGTTTCTCCTTTACCAGATAATCCCTTAAGCACTATGGGAAAGGACACTTTGTATAGTTCTTCTTGCTCTCCAAACTCATATTCTGAATTAAAATAAAATTTTCAGATGTAGAAATGGTATCCTCTCTAATAGAAAGGTTAGAAACTTGAAAATAATTTCCATTTGAGTGCAAACTCTCATAGACCTGCCTTTCACAGGAAGTGTCCAAAATATTTATACCTGTACTTACTGGGGCCTTTAAGCCCCCATATCTCTCCCCACCTGCCACCACTAGCATATTAGTCATGTCACTTTGTTATACAGCTAGAAATTCCAACAATAAGAGAGTCATTTGTATTTAAAAAGCTTCTTTCATTCACAACTCAGTTTAATCCTCCTAATTTGCCTGTGAGATCTTAATACTGAAGGAAGGGGAATTGGGTTGTGATTATCTGGTGGAGGTGGTGCATGGAGTGGGTTGAAAAGGAAAGGTACAGGACATTTTGAAGCACAGGCATGGCATAGGTGTAATGGGTTTGAATTCAGAGTCAGAGTGGACAGACTTGGGACAATCAGGAGACAGAGAGCCAGGGGTCAAGATTACAGAAGAGTGAATAAAGATGGGGTGGGACACAAACTTTATAACAAACTTTACTTTAAAATATGTCCTGAGTATTAGTTTGGGGAACCTTCTGGCCCTAGTAAAACTAGGAAGTCTGTTTCCTCACCAGTTTTATGGGAAGATAGTGGGGCACATGTTCTTGCTATTATATTTTCATTGCTTTTTCTCAACTTACTCATGCAAATTGCATAAAACTTTAGTATTGTATAACAAGAGTCAGCTGAGACTGTGTGGGACCTAGGTGCTCTAATAAAAATAAAATTTCCAAATGAGAGATTAACACAAAGTTTGATAAGTGTTCCAGAAAATGTTCCAATTAAATTTTCAATAAAAAAAATTAAAAAACAAAATTTGAGCAGAGGAGCACTTTTGTTATTCTTCAACTAATTTCAGTGAATCTAATGTTAGCTCACTAACTAATCTTCAAATTTAGAACTGAGGACAATATGGGACAGTGGGAAGAGGGCTGGATTTAACATCAAAGGATGTTTGTTCAAATCTCAGCTCTGATATTTACCTTTCTCTGTAATCTTTGGCAAATCACTTCACCTTGATGGGCCTCAACTTTCCTGGGCTCTAAATCTGTTAGGATAAGTCAGAACCTCGGAGAATTGACCTGAAGTCCTAGGGTAGAGAGCAACAGGGCCTCCTCAGCTGACTCCAGAATAATTTCTTCTAAAATTCTGTTTCTCCTCCCCTCCTCCAACTCTCTCTCATACAATTCTCCACCTCCCACCCTTCCCTCCAACACTGTAAATAATTCTTAGCCTTGTTTGAATGGACAACCAAGGCAGGCAAGAAACAAAAAGACTTGCCAAAGTATCAAACAACTTTCCAAAGCCCATTCATTTTGGGAATGACAAGTGCTTCTTGAACAATAACAACCTAAAGTCATGGGCCTTGTTAGATGCTTGTCTATAGCTTCTTTCATGTTTGTATCTCTACTGCCTGGTACAATGCTTAGCAGTAATATTAGCAGCAGCAGTAGTAGTAGTAGTAGCAGCAGCAACAGCAGTAATAGTAGTAGTAGTAGTAGTGGTAGTACTAGTAGTAGTAGTAGTAGTAGTAGCAGCAGCAGCAGCAGTAGCAGCAACAGCACCAGTAGCAGCACCAGTAATGGTAGTAGGAGTAGTAGTTACAGCAGCAGCAACAGCACCAGTAGTATTAGTAGCAGTAGCAATAGTAATAATAGTAGTTCAAACCTGGCCTCAGACACTCATTAGCTGTGTGACCCCGGGCAAGTCACTACCCTGTTTACCTCAGTTCCTCATCTGTAAAATGAGGTGGAGAAGGAAATGGCAAACCACTCTAGTATCTTTGCCAAGAAAACCCCAAATAAAGTCAGAGAATCATATATGACTGAAATGAGTCAACAACAACTATACTTGAAAATAGAAATCCTGAAAATCAAAGGAGAGAAAATGAAATTGAAAGTAAAAAAACTCATTGAACTAATAAATAAAACTAGGAGCTGGTTTTATGGGGGCAGGGGGACCTAATAACATAGATAAACCACTGGTTAATTTGATTAAAAATAAAGAAAACCAAATTACCAGTATCAAAAATGAAAAGAGTGAATGCACCACCAATGGAGATGAAATTAAAGAAATTATTAGGATTATATGTCAATAAAGGTGACAATCTAAGTGAAATGTTGATTAGTTACAAAAATATAAACTGCCCAGTTTAACAGAAGAGGAAATAGAATACTTAAAAGACCCTATCTCAGAAAAAGAAATTGAACAAGCCATCAATGAGCTGCCTAAGAAAAAATCCCCAGAACTAGATAGATTTACAAGTAAATTCTACCAACCATTTAAGGAACAATTAATCCCAACATTATATAAACTATTTGAAAAAAAAATAGGTAAAAAAAGAAGTCCTAACAAATTCCTTTTATGACATAAATATGGTTTGGTAACCAAACCAGGGAAAGCAAAAACAAAGAAAGAAAACTATAGACCATTTTCCTTAATGAATGTTGATATAAAAATTTAAAATAAAATACTAACAAGGAGTTTACAGCAATATATCACAAAGATTATATACTATGACCAGGTGAGATTTATACCAGGAATTCAATGCTGGTTCAATATTAGGAAAACTATCAGCATAACTGACCATATCAATAACAATAACAGCAGAAATCATATTAATAAATTCATAGGTGCAGAAAAAGCTTTTGACAAAGTGTAATACCCATTCTTATTAAAAATACTAGAAAACATAGATATCAATGGAATCTCCTTAAAATGTTAAGGAGTGTCTTTCTAAAACCAAGAGTAAGCCTTATCTGTAATGGGGATAAATTTGAAGCCTTCCCAATAAAACCAGGAGTAAAACAAGGATGTCCACTATCACCACTATTATTCAATATTATGCTAGAATTGCTAGCGATAGCAATAAGACAAGAAAAAGAAATTGAAGGAATACAAATAGGCACTTAGGAAACAAAACTACCACTCTTTGCAGATGACATGATGGTATATTTAGAGATCCCTAGAGAATAAACTATAAAACTAGTTGAAAAAATTAACAACTTTAGCAAAGTTGCAAAATATAAAATAAACTCACATAAATCTCACATAAATGGGGAATAAAATAGATAATTTTGATTACATGAAATTAAAAGCTTTTATACAAACAAAACTGATACAGACAAAATTAAAAAGAAAACAGGAAAATAAAAAATTGCAAGTTTCTCTAATAAAGGTCTCATTTCTCAAATATATGGGGAACCGAGTCAAATTTATAAAAAGAAGACCCACTCCCCAGTTGATAAATGGTCAAAGGATATGGTCAGTTTTCAGAAGAAATCAAAGCTATCAATAGTCAGATGAAAACGTTCTCTAAAAAACTATTGATTAGAAAAATGCAAATTAAAATAACTCTGAGAAACCACCTTATACCTATCAGATTGGCTAACATGATACAAAAAGGAAAATGACAAATGCTGGAGGGAATATGGAAAGACTGGAACACTAATGTACTGCTGGTAGAGTTGGAACTGATCCAACCATTCTGAAGAGCAATTTGAAACTAGGCCCATAGGGCTATAAAACTGTGCATACTCTTTTGACTCAGCAATACCGCAAGTAGGTCTGTATCCCAAAAAGATCTAAGAAAAGGGAAAAGGAGTG